GAATATTTCTGAAATGGAGCCCCAAAGCAGCAAAGATCTTAAACCTCTTACAAGACTAACACATGGATCACATGGGAGTCATTACAGATTACCAGTTCCTCTTATCAGTACTTTAGCAGGATTTGACGCCTCCTTCAGCACCTGATGGGAATCACCACAACAAATACTAAACAAGCTCTGGGGTGCTCAAGGCAAAGTTCTTAGTTTGGTTATATCTAGAAAGGAATAAAACATATTCAAATTAATAGAGTTTACATTACATGTTTCTTAATGGATACCAAATATACACAGAAGATGTGTGTGGTGTGGACAATTAGTCTTGTGACATGTAGTTTGTGGAATTTCTAGTGATAAGTCTGAACAAACGTAACTTTATTAATTTATTTTTTATTAAAACGTATTCACATATAAACAGCTGTCTGCAGTTTTTATCCTTTGTCTCCGTCATTTCATGCAGGTTACATAAGAATTATAACACTAAGTACAGCTGACTTGACCCCAGACAAGGCTCAATGAAGTCTATTAAAACTGCACTTATGCTAAATAAGGCCTTTTGATGTTATCTGTTGAGCTGCTTGTGAGTTTTATATATTGTTATAAAATAGAACTGGAAATAGAAAAAGGGTAATTTGGAAACTACCCTAAAACTCCTTAATTAAACCAGGTATAGTCATGTTAAAAAGAAAGAAAAACGTGTTTCTTATTTCCTTAAAAGTCAAAATGAAAAAAACTATTCAATGTCAATAAGAAATATGATTGAATTCGTATTATTGAAAGTTTTCTGTTATATCACAGTTATTAAAATATAGCTCTATCGAGAATACATTATTGTCTTTATTACAGTATACATTATATACTGTATACAGTATTAGAAGCTATATTAAAGCTTATAGAATTCTATATAAGGCATTTTATTCTATTAAAACATGAAATCATGTACAGTATATCAAATATACTGTATATAGACTAATAAGTAACTCACCATCTTTAAGATGAGACATTAAACCTGACTCTCACTGGTCATTAAAGATCCCCAGGCATTTTTCGAAAAGAATAGGACGTTATCCCAGTGTCCGGGCCAAATTTCCCCCCTTGGCCTTTACCCTGGCCTCCAATGTCCCCATGTATGACTGGCTTGCACTTGCCCTGTGATGGACTGGTGCCATGTCCAGGGTGAACCCTGCCTTGTGCTTGTTGCTTGCCAGGTAGACTCCAGCTTCCCACAACAACGTATGGTATAAAGCGGTTTGGCAAATGACATGACAAGTAACTCAAGCATACCAACTGTAGCATAAAAGTTCAAATGGGAAGTATTACTGACGGTTCAAGCATTTTCTTCCCACTTTCCTTCTATGATGAAAATCCAAGGTAACTGAGGCATGATGCGTTAATCTTCTCAATGTATTCGTTTTTTCAACTGTCACAGGCAGCATAACAGGATATATGTACTGTTCTTCAGCATTGTTACTCTTCCACTAGTAAAAACATACAGCATTAGTGTAAACTTGAATTGGACCAAGTGTCAATTGAAATGTGCCGTTTTAGGAGTAATAACATCATAATGTAAAGATTGCAAGATTGCAATGTCAAAACAGAAGCAGAAATTGAGCACATGTTCCAAAGCAGCTGATCACAAACATATGCAGACAGCCACATAATGGAGACCACTGCCTGCAAAACGAATGCAGACTAAAAATATTCATAGCATATCAAAACATTTCAATAAATCCTAATAAGAGGCCTGTGGATGTCTGCACCAAGAAAGTAATACAGAATATCACTTGAAAACTGTACTGTAGCATTTTCTTGCGTGGTTTAGGCTTATTAGAATCTGTATATTAACGAAAGCTACATGAAGAAAAATGTTAAAAAGTATTGTACTTCATTTACTGTATTTATTTCACAGATTACTGCCTATAATGTGATATTGGTCCTTCAACACATTTCAGAAACACAAAATGTCTGCAGTTATGAATTAAAGATAACTGTATTTTAACATGAAAAAAGTGCTATGTTTTATTCTTATTTTATTCATTTTTTGTATGTTTTTAACCAAACAGCTTGACATGCTAAGTCGACCTTCAAACACTGAGATTCCTACTGATTTTACTAAAGATAGATTACACTTTCAATTGATCAGATACAGGCTGTTTTAATATCAGTATAATATAAGTTAATCTTGTTTTCTGTGAAACCACTCCTTGCTGCAATAACAGCATTTAAATTATAATATAATCAAAATGTTTTAAACTAGCAGTAAATGAGGTATGCTTGTTACTACCTACATAATTTTACTTAATAGTTTAGCTATTAGCATTGAAAAGAGAGTGCCATACATTGACAATGAATTCCTGGAATACGGAAAGAAAAATCAGCCTGGATTGTTTAATAGACTACACAAAACTTGAAGCACCCTTGCATTTTAAATCCTGGCACAGGAAACCACAGTAACACTTTTTTTAAAAGAGGAAATATTTTTTTTTACATGCCATACTTAGACAAAGAAAATCTATGCAGTTAATACTTTTAATTAATTCCAGTGGAGTATTATTCCATTCAGCCATCCCTCATCAGCAAACTGCTTATTCCTGGTAAAGGCTTCTATAACCTAGAAGATATCTTGGAAGAATAATACACAAGGCATGACTACACCCTGGACAGGGTATTTCATAGCAGTATGCAAACTAAAAAAAACACAATGAAAAGATTAATGATTCAATCTGTGGGTCCTTTAGAATCTGGGAAAAACTAGAGAATCTGGAAAAATCCAGTAAAGAATTAAATCCAGGATCCAAAAGTTGTAAGGCTGTATTGCTAGGCACTACGCTACCAGAGTATTATTCTTGTACTAAAATGAAGTTACTTTTTGGCTCATTGAAATTATCCTGGTATTCCAGTCTTACAATCTCCTCTGTATTCAAGCAGTATAGCAAGTCTTCACTGGCTCAATGGCTTTTAATGTAAAGCGTAGGGTTTTCTTAACTTCCCTGAACATGGAAACAGAATAACAAGTCTGTCTCTCTTTGAAGGCAGGCTTCAGGAGACTACCACCATTGAGCAACAGTGTGATGTATGGCTGTCAGTTTTCTCATTTGTTTTTGTTTTCCCTGTCTCTTGTACAAGTTTTTTTTTACCACCTGGAGCTACATCCTGAACCATTTACAATCATACAAATGTGTCTGTGTCAAGAGGTATGTTGAATGAAGCAGCCAGGCAACATTCACATCAGAACATTTCCCTAGTATTCCATCCAGTGACTAACAGCAGTGCTCCTTCGGATATGAAACAGAAAGATTAGGTGCAAAGATTTTGTAAGCAAGGCAGATGTCGGTATTTGTTAACCATCAGCAAACATTTAGGAACAGAAGTCTAACGTGATATTTAGATATACATGACTGTCTACAATATCTCTGGTATCTGCAGATTCCATGAGGAACTTAATCTGTGATTCTCTTTGTTTATCCTTTTTCTATTCAAGTCTTTGAAGTTTTTACCTAGGAGATTAATTATAATGTTTCTCATAAAAATAAATGTACTGATCCTTATCAAGTCAGCATATTAAGTATGAACAACCAAAGGACAAACTGTGCCATTTCCTTAAATTATACTAAGACTAATACATTAAAGTCATCAACAGTTGTACAAACAGTAGTTGATAGTTACCCACAATCCCTTGTAATCTATTATGTATGGTAGATTTTTACTTGTCACCTGACACTTTAAAGTACTTAAAGTAGTCATTTTCAGTGCTATCAAACAAAAACAAATATTTATGACATGCTCATATACTTAACTTAACCTTCCTAGAAGCTACATTGCTTATTGGACCAACAAAGCAGCCAGTAACAGGTGCTACTATAGGACTCTATGCTGGAATTTAACATTTATATTAAATTGACTTCCATTTTAGTTATGCTCATTTTCTCATTCCTTTGTCTTGTATTGCAAATGATAAACACACAACATATGTTTAACATGGTATTGTTACAAGTCCACAGACATGTTCAACATTTTATCGTAGGGGAGAAATTTGTTATAAGTGAAGCATAATGACACATGGCAAAAGCTATGAACTAAAATAGATTTACTTCACAGTTTCCTTAAATGTAGATTCATACAGTCCTGTATCACATTTCTTGAAACCAGGTGCAGGTGCTGACAATAACCTGACCTTAGAGTCTCACTGAAGTGACAGTTTAATGTATATGGGTAATTGAATTAGTTTCATATCCCCGTCTCCTCACAAGATGGATAATAAGAAGCTCAGAATAAGTTAATTAACAGTATATACACAAAATAATGGATTATATGAAATTATGCAATTAAAGAGAAGAAAGATCTCTAACCTATTTGGACAGGAAAATGCAGAACTGTATGAATAAATCATTATAAAACAGAATCAGATTGCTATTTATGAGATTCATATTCCAAAATACTGCACAAGCTAACTGCTATAAACATAGTTTATTGCAAAAGTAATTGTACTAACATTGCTCTGTACTGGATTATGCTCCAATTTAGGTTTAGCAATAAAACAGAGAACAGATGCATTTTAGTACATCATGCTGATTCCATAATTCCAGTGTAGTTCCCTAATAAAATAGTATCAGCTTGAGGGGGTCCTGGGTGGCTCAACAAGTACAGGTCATTGCACCATGGTGGTGCTGTGGTGTGAAGAAGCACACCCGAAGAAGGCTCCACAGCGAGAACAGGGTGTTTTCTTTCTTCTCTTTTCAGCATGGAAGAAACCTATTACTTGTTCCTATTACATGCCTTCGTATGCTGATGCAGCTACCCACCTGCACTAATTTTGAAAACTACTTGACTTTACGTTCAACAAATATACACAAAATACATTATTATTCTCTGCAGACATTCAAATGTGAATCGAATCAATCTCAGTGCAATGCAGGCAAAAGGTGACAGTGAAAAAAGAACTTGTTGTACTGAAGAGTTTTAACATCTGTGGAGAAACCATGACAAGGAAAACAGCAGCATACCTGAGAGGAGTGATCGCTGTTCAGAGATTCGGTTTTCCCACTCTCCAGAAGATGAATCCTCGGGTGGCTGTCACTCAGAGGTGAAGTGGTTTCTCCATTGGGAAGGGACTGCTCTAGTTTTGGACTGCTGCCTCCCGTCTTCACTTCTGAAGACTGTGCTCCTGGGCCAATGGTCTGTGATGGCAAGACCTCAGCATCCATAGAGTTACAACGGCCATTCTCTACCTCGGAGTCCCGGCTGTCTTTGCTGTCCCGGGTGAAGGAGGACCGAGAGATGACCCCAAATTTCCGAGTCCTTTTGCCATTCTGTGCTGGACTGCCACTGGGCTCAGAGGAAACGCTGATCCTGTGCTCACTGCTGCTGCTGCCATTGCAAGGAGGAAGAGGAGCTTTGCGTTTGATACGACGCAGCATGATCAGGTAGATACATCCGCCATTCCAGCACTGGTCAGCCAGGTAACTGCAAAAAAAAAGACCATCAGTGCACTAACTGTACAGTATGCGGATTTTAAAGAATCGAATGAGCCAAGGACAGAAAGATGAACACGAGCAGATTCATGTTATTCTGTTTAGCTTAATTATCATTATACTATAAGTATAATCTGAATTTTGTTCTTTAGAAACAAAAAAACAATGTTATGAGTCCTCAAATCTTACCAGCAGACAGAAACTGATTTTTCTCATTACCTTCTCATTAACAAAACAGATAAAAGATGTCTAATGTGAACTAAAATAAACTGTCAATTTTACAACTACTCGTAAATATTCCTGTTAAGTTTTTTGCTTTACAAAATACTACGATGTAGATAATATTAACACAGGTATTACTTATTTTAATGTAAATACTGCCTTAAATGTAGTTCATACAGTATCTATAATTTCCTGTATTGATTCCAAGTCTGATTTTAAATCTTATGTATAAAACTTAACTACCACCCTTTTTTGTAAGACAAAATTGAGTCCGGAAGAACATACAGGTATCATCACACAATGACTGAGCTAACTTAAAATTAGAATTAGAATTTAAAGTAGCATATTTAAATAATAACATGTAGAATAACTGATAACATGTTATGAATTGTGTTGCATTAATCACATTAAGACTACCAATAAAATCACTCTGGAAAATGCAAACTGCAAAATTAATGATTCAGATATGTTTCTCTGAGTGTTTGTTTTTTGAAAGGCTGGACCTGACAACATAATAAAGGTGCCATCGCATTATTTGGTAATGGAATTCAAATACCTACAGTACAGAAACAAAGGTACCAAAGCCCACCGTATAATTTTTAAAATAGCCTCTATGTGTTTGGCCTTTGGGAAAAAGAGCAAAAAAAACACCCCCCACAAATTCACAAGAAAAGACTTAATATTCCCATGAAAACAGGAAGGTCAGTGGTTAGAAGTAGGAAGTCAGCAGTGCTGTGAATAAACATTAAGTCTACATAGTGTAGTCCTATAGAGCAGGAAGCTAAGGCCAATTACTATTATAAGTAGAACAGAAAGAAATCATGAGAATAACATTTCACTTTTGGCTCATTTGGCATTATAGGCCCTGAGAAACGGTAATATTATAACAAACCTCAATGGATATATATGCACTAGGTCCTTGTGATTACCACAGAGTCCCAAGCAGGGAAGTATTTAACCAGAATGGGGAGATATACTGAAGCACTAGAAAAGCATTAAAAAAGTAGATAACTAGATAACCTTTTAAAAAAGGTAAAATATCCATCACATTAGGACTTTAACTGTACAAATACAGAGGGGTATGGTGGTGCTGTGGTTTGCATTGCTGCCTCACAACGCTGAGGCATTGGGATCAATTCCTGTGGTGTGGTCTGGGTGGAGTTTGTATGTTCATACCTACAGCAACAAAGTCAATCAAATCTTCAGGCTGAGATGTGTGGTATTATTGATGGCTTTTCAATTATAAATAATCCACAGAATAATTAAAAGCTTATTAAAATAAACTACAAAACGTACTGTATAATCTCTACTGCCTGGCCTATCACAGCACTTTGGGAAACAAACACTTTTCCACACACTGTTCCTACAAATTCACATTGGTTTAATGACAATAAAGACAGAAACAAAAGTTATTTCTAAACATGCATATATATCCAATTAATCTGCATTGAAACAATTACCATTTGTAACTAGTACTCAATTTGAGTAATGCATGAAGAAATACAGTCACAGACAGTTTGGGACAGCGGTCTGGATCCCCATGGAAAAATGTTAATAAGAGCAACAAATAATAAGAATGCAATACAGGCAATAAAATTAAAATGGATAAAACAACAAAAAAATTGAGCTTTTGAAAAAGAGGTTTATACTTAATATTTCCCAGATGACATATTTAAACATGATAACTACTACTGACTTAAGTTACTTCATTCCTCTTTTTTTCTTTTACTTGTAAATCGTGTTAGCCAAAACCCGTTTAATTTTAATTATTGTTTGTTATAACCTTTTTCTTCATCACTTAAAAGTCCCTTTGCATATCTTTATGTTGGTTTCCTGGTCATCATCATATCCAAATGCACTCCACCAACAAAGTGTTTGCTTACATGCCTAAATGGAATGCCAGACGAAGCAGGAGCCAAAACTTATCAAAACAAAGCAACCAAAACAAAAACAAACAATAAACAGCTTTTAAGACGAATGGAGGGAAATCAAAAGGAAAACATCCATGTCACATGAGCTCTTTGCAACTGGGCATTTTAAGACCCAGGAATTCAGTAAAACAAACCACAATATAACAATAACACCCCATGTGACCTCAAAAGAGTTCTGTAATCAACTGCACGTTATTAACATGGGGATTATAGAGTGGCAGGAAGGCAATAAATGAGCTATAATATAAATATATATATAACATATTTAGAATATAAATGCATAATAAAGTATATTGGTTGCTCATTTCTTCCAATTGAACAGAACGTATTTTCAGTTCTTAAGTCTACTTATTTTTGGCTTACCCAGTTCTATTTATGAATTATATGAAAGGAGAGAGAGAAAGATACAGTAAAAATAAATATATCCCCAGCTCGGATGTAATCGGTTCAAGATTAGGACAGGAAAAGTGCTTGCACTGTAGAAACTCAAATACCTCTTAGACCTAGCAGCTTATGAATTCTAAGTAGCATGGCCTTTTTTTTTCTCAAGATTGCTTATTTTTATATATTGCTGTGTCAAGACTATCAAGAGAGGGCTTCAATGAACAGGAAAACACAAGGATTGTCCAAATACATATGTTGCTATTATATTCAGGTCAAAGAAAAATAAGCACCAATCTAGTTTTATTATGCATCCACTACATGTCAATCACTGTCACTACATTCAGTCTAAGCTGACCACTGACTATGCAAAAACATACCAAGTGCTGACTGACTTCAATGAAAGACTAACAAAACACAAGCAGCATGCTGTAACACATTGCCAATGTAACTATAGACATACTGCAGGTCTACAAGACAGTGTAAGCAATTTGATTTCTTTCATCACATGAGAAATAATAAAATGCAGAAAGACAGGGAACACTACAATTAGAATATTTCCAAAACATTTGGTCAGCTCTGGATAATTTGACACTTGTTACTGTACCGTATTGTTTAAGAGTAATATATTTTTAAGGCTTTAAGTACTGCAAAATCTAGACTAATTCTGACAACAAGAAGCCTAATAATTGCAGGGCTGTAGACTACAACTACTGTTCATAAGCTTGAGACAGGAAACTGATTTAATCACCATTTTTGTTTCCTTTTGATTTTTGTACATTTCTTTTAACTTTTTAAATCATAGCTTTTTACATGAGTGTTATTTTTTGTTCCTAGGTATATACAACGTTTTGACTAAACAGAAGACTCCTAATCAATTCAGTCTTGCTTCTATTTGAAAAGATCCCAAGTTATATGATCCTTTTTTATTGAAAACCAAGGATTGGCATTTTTCAAATTAATGTTCTGCATCACACATCAAGCAATAACGTTCTTCAGGTCAGATTTAAATCTAACTATGCTTTTATTTCTACAAAATCATTAAATAATACACAGTTTTTTTTTTATTCCAGCAATAGCTAAACTGACATACTGTACAAACCAGGTCTGTTTATGAAATAAACTATTAAAGAGCAAAGAAACTAAAATCTTAAAAATATAGAACTATTCAAATAAATTCTGTGATTGAATTCCATGATTACATTTAGTACAAACACAGTTAGAGAAAATGGACACCGTGTTATTTTTTTATTTTTGTAATTGTTTTTTCACTAATTTAATTTTAAGAAAGAAAAGACTACAGCCTCAGTGATTTTTAAATTTCAATCAAGCACTAGATCTACAATACATTTTTAAATGTCATATGTGACGTGAAAATGAATCGTAAATGCGCTGATTAATGCTGATCAATTTTTAACAGTTTTTAAAAGGTCACACTCAGCTAATGGATGTTTAAAAGAATGCCAGTATTCGACAATGAATTACTTCAAACCACTCATGCTTTATACTTGTAAAATGTGAGAAACTATTTCAGGTACTCACACTTTATACTAATTATTTTACCCATACGCTAAACAGCTTCATAAACAAATGAAAATCGTGCATACAGTATGAGGTACATTTTCTTACATATTTTCATCTTTCATCTTAATACCCTGACTCATTACATTCCTACAGTTCACGTTTTCGAACCAGAGTTAGAAAGTAGCAATATTAATGATTTTTGCACATTTTGTGAGGATAAAAGTTAGTTCAATATATGAAGGAAGGTGACAATGACATTTTTTTAATTTCAAAAATGCCTGACAGCTTGACGTTCCAGGGGACTGCCGTATCCTGTAGCTCACACATCTGTTGCAACTTCAGTGAAAATTACGACACCAAAAAATGGAACTAGATATACATTCAATATGGAGTTTTTAACGCACCATTTCCTTGTAAAGTTGAACTGGAAAAATTATGTCATATATGATTGGGTTACATTTACCCAAAGAATATAATTTTACTTGATGAGCCATGTATTCTTATCAACGCCTATCTCTTCTAGGTATCATGACTCAGTCATGAACAACTTGCTCTTCATATTTTGATTTGTCATTAATAGAATCCTATTATCTTGTTCTTGTCTATCATAACCTTTTGCCATACACAAAACCTTTTCAATTTTGACTACGATTACCTGATTTAAGTATTCAAAATCCCCAAAGGCACATACTCTCTTTTTACTGTATAAACTATGGGGGAGTAGGCTTGAATCTCTGAACAGGAGACACGTTTTAAATGTACAGTAGGATTACGGAAGTATGGGAAAGCTAACCATTCATGTTGTTGAAGCTCTTTCCGTACCTACTTTCAAGAAATCTATAAGGACCAAGAGATCCTCAAAGCAATTAGTTGCAAAAACAAATGAGGTACAGTATATGGGGGAGCGGTGGCTCTGTGGCTAAGGATCTGTGCC